CTATAATCTATTAAAATTTGGAAAAATTTGAAAATTTGAAGTGCTTTTTAACATTACAAATTTCATCAAAATATTTCGAATCTATGAAATATCTTTATAATGCTTATATAAGTACTAAGTAAATATCGCTACAATTAATATTAATAGGGTAACAACAAAATAATTAATTTTACTTATTGAAAATTCGTTAAAATACCTGATTTCGTCAACATTTCATTTTATAATAATTATAAAATCTTTTTTGCATCATTTCAGTTTTTTCTTGATTACAAAGAAAATCTTGGATCCAATTTTTAAGTTTTTAGCATAAAATTGAAAGTTTTTGAATTTTTGAATATAAACAAGATTTTTATCAAATTGTTAAAATTTAATATTTAAACGCTTGAAATTCTTTTTGAAATTATTCAGTAATACATTCATCAAAACTTTTGGCTAAACTAAAATTATTTAATTGATATCACCAAAAAGAAAGCTAATATAGCATTATATTTTCAATGATCTACAGATACCATAAAAACATCTTTTGAAAATTATAGCGAACAGTGTTTAAGCAAGCATTTCAAGTCTTTTAGAATATTCTATTTTGAATTACAATGAAAACAAAAATTTGATTTAGTTAAAAATCTGATGCTATAAATTTTTTTTTTTTTCCTAAGTGTTGCATAATTTTTTATAAAACTTTTGGGAAACTCATAAAATAATAATCTCTTCAAAGTAACAACTTCCTAATACTGCCTAACTTCCTAAACTTAATTTCCTAATAGCGATCGGTTGATATTTTATATTATTAGATATTTATTTACATATAATTTGTTCACGATTTCGACCAGAAAAAAAATCAATACATATCTTGTTTCACTCGTTTAGTATTTTTTTAAACTTGTTTTTAACTTATAAACTATCAATTATAATATTTATTTAAGGAATAGTTGTTTGTTATATTACAAATTTTAGAAAAATATAATGTAGTCAACATTATCTAACTAAATCAATGGGTAGGTCGTTGTTTCAGTACTTTGATTTTTAATGGTAGAATTATTAGGTTGTTATTTGAACTTCATTAAAAATATAACTTTAATTAATGTAATATTATATCAAATAAGATTTGTGAGGTATGATATTCTTAAACGATTTAAAATATAATTCAATATATCATGTAAATGTGATAAATTACATATCGATTTTGATTTTGTAACTATGTTAAATGTAACTATACTTTTATATTATTATAATAGAATATATAGGCAGTAGCATGTGTATTAAGTGAATAAAACACTCAGATTATGTTGAAGATTATAAACATATACTCAGGGTGGATTGGATATTGAAGGATCGATTGGTTCATCAACTGTACCTATTATTATTCAATTTTAACTGATAAATATTTTTAGTTAATAGTGCTCAATTCATCTCCATTCACATATTCTAAAATTAAACGAATGGCGATTTACTATTATATTTTAATTTTTATTAATATTACACTATCGAGGACCCAGAAGGCGATTGCCTCTTCACCTCACTAGCCAGTCCACCATTGTTTATATTATATTAAATGATTTTCATACATATATTAATTCTATTTTTATATATTCTGTTTTTATTATATTCTAACCTTTTACAGAATTGAATATTGATTTTAAATTTTTTAACTAGGAAAGAAAAATAAAATCATAATATTTGACCACCAACGAATACATTTTCAATAATTTAATACAAAACTTCAATTTTTTAAAACGTAAACTCGACCAACGAAATAATATAACTGACAGTTGATTTTCATGATTTAAATCAAATTCTAACATAAAATTTAATCAAATGTTAGAAAAGTATTTCTTTATTTCTTAGCAGTCATTTAAAATAATATTTGATACAAAAGTTGTTAACAAATCTGATTTGTATTGTTTTTTTTTTGTACAAAAACCATTAGACAAGTACTTATACATACGTATATCTTTTTATTTATATATTTTACAGTAAATGAAAAAAAATAAAAGTTTACCAAATATGTCAATTAGGCATTTGGATTAACAAACCCAATGAAATCATTATTGTTAGATATAAAGTATGATTTTTACCAAAAAACTTCTGGTTAAATATGTCAGTTGGTGACTAGTTAAAATTCATAGTTATGTAGGACAGCAAGCAACGCTAAATGGCCGAAATAAGTATTTGATATAGCTATAATGGTTTTTAGTAGTTTAAATACGTTTTATTGTTTTATCTTGATATGTATTCTGATACTAGTTTTTTGTTATCTATATATTTTAGATTTTTAGATATTCATATTGTAAATATTAGATCCATGCATTTATAATCAATATATAATTATATAATGATATTATAATATTAAATTAATTTTATATTATCGAGGAACAGCCGTTTTAGTCTTTTTATTTTAATTTATAATTTTAAGTCGTAAAGTAGAATTATATTTTAAACTACATAATAAATGTTTACATATATAACATTGAAAACTGTGCCCTGCACTTTATCACTTTTAATACTGATATTAAGGAAATTAGAAAGGTGTACAACGCGTAGGTATTATCAATACGAATACTTTCTCCACCATGATTTTCATTATGAGCTTATTTTATAAGTGAGAACAAAATGGTTAATTTTTCCATAAAAGAAATACATTTTGATGTGTAATAATTTTTTTTTTTTTAATTTATTCGATAAACAATATAAGAGAGAATCCACAAAAAAGGCTTATTTAATTTTACAATGTGTGAAAAATATTTAAAAATTGGAGTATTAGGATTATTTAATACATATTTTTAAAAGTATATGAGTTCTAAAAATGTTATTGAGAACAATAAATAACAATAAATGATTTATGGTTTGTTTTTGAAGATATTTGTAATTAATTATTAAATGAATTATTTAGTTTCTTCTTCGTACAAACGTTGTGTTTCTTTGTATTTTTTTAAACAGCATAAGACTGACCTTGAATGATTTCAAGGTCTTGTATTTTAGTATATTTGCATGTTCTTTAGTTTATGGTATTTATATTTTAATATATTTAGATATGATACATGCTTTTACATTTATGATGCCTATTCGAAGATTTGTCATAATAGGAAATCACTAGTGCAGCATCATTATTCAGTATGCAAATTGATTTTAGTATTTGAAAAATATCATATACATTTAATTTAATGGTGAATTATTATTTTATGTTCAATAAAAGTTATTTTTGCAGTATTATTATGAATAATATATTATTTAACTATAAGTATTATACCGAAAATACTGGTAGGTATAAATTCTGTTTGTAAAGTAGCAATTGTTTTTTTCGCTTCTTTGTTCCCCTTAAAAATCACATAGCTAACGTGATACATTTGAAGATTAAAATGTATAAATTTTTTTTTTAATTTGTATTTGGAGATAAAGTAGTAGGTAATATAGTATTTAAAGTTGTATGAATCACATAGAGATATTTAACATTATATTAATTACATTTTTATTATTTATTAACGTACTTCAAATTATTTTATTATTTATGACTCAATTTATAATAAATATATATTGATTTGACTAATTTTAATATAAATACTTGATGATGATACAAAATCAGTGATATATAAAAAAAAAAGCGGGAATACAAGTTTATGTTTAATACAATAATAGTTATTTTTAATCAATTAATAAATAGTCATTATTCTTTAGGTTTCTTTAAATTTACTCCCATATCTTCAATTTAAACTATCATATCAAAATCTATGCAATTTGATAGTTGCCCTTTAATATTTTTCGATAGACAAGAGAAAAAATGTTTTATGTATTGACATATGTAAAATAAATAGTTTTAATCAACGTTCAAAAATTGTAGGCAAATGCATATATGCTACTTTTTATCCAGAACGTTTTATTATTTTTAAATAGATTATGCAAACAGTCATTTATATTAAATTACTACCTAATGATATCATCCAAGAATATATTATGTATTTATTAATAATATCACGTAAACATTATAATTAATAGAAACTAATATCCAGATAAAAAAAATGACACAGGTATCTTAATTGTAATCATTTAATGAAAAATTGTCTAACAGACAATAATTTTAAAATTTTTATTTGTTTTTGTTATATTTTTCATAACATATTACAAAAGAAAAATATTGAGAATGTCGAATCTGAGTAATCAGTTATTAAAGAATTTCGTTTGTTTTTTATGAAAGTTAATAGTTTTAAGCGTTCTTTTGTTGTATGTTCTTTATTTTGAAAATGTATTGTGATTTTATGCTCGAAAATTACAAATTTAAATTCAAACATGAACTAACGAATGTTCAGCAATGATATCGTAAAAATGTAATAAGTATTGAATTACATATACACATTTTGGTATTTATCTATCAATATTAATTTGTCCATTTATAAAATCATCAAATGTATTTATTTTTATTATAAAATTTATCGTTTTGAAAATGCTTTATCCAATCATATTTGTATTTATAAGAAGTATTAACTATATCGACATTTTTGGCTATTGAACTAGTTAATGAGTAACAATAACATTTGTGATAATACGCAAAATACTTATGTGTAATTAGAACTTCTCCGCAATCCGAAGCCATGATATACTATAATATATAAGGAAATTTGTAAATTTATTGATCAACTATATAAATATTTATGTACTAAACGAACTTTAACCAGAAATTATTAAGTATATATTATATATGTATATCATAGTCTATTTTATTTACAATGAGCTCAGTTTTAAAATGCCTCTAAAGTTATAATGTATAAATTATTTTTATACTTTAAATCACTGTTATACAGTTGATTATCATAAGGTAATTTGATCAGTGACACAACTCTATTTAAATTCTACACCTGGTGTTGTTTTTAATAAAAACGATGACTCATCTTCAAAATTTATTAACATTATTATTCGAGTATGAAATCAAATAGTGTGAAAGATACCGATTATAATAATATACATTATATGTATAAAACATAAATAGAAAATTTAAAAATTATACGTACCAAGAGCCACTCCTAAAATGACTGAAAACAAGATACAGATGAGGAATCTGTTGGTCTTCAGCCATCCCGCGATTACGTCTATTTTGGGAGAGTTTTTCACCTTTGAAATGAAAGTCAAATCTTCCCGCCGTATTTCCATATTGTCTGCCAAAAACACATAGAACATTTAGCGTACATCATTACAGTCTCTACAGTTCAATAACTATACTACTACTAATAATAATGTTGTCATATATATATAATTTCCATGCACACTTTTATCATAATCTTATTATTTTCGAGACGATATTTTTACCCCGAGTAGACGAGTAGAGCTTAAGTTTTCAGCCGTCACGTGTATATACACAATACACGGATGATACGTTTGTTTTATTTGCAATTAATTCAATATGGCCTGCCGGATGTATTATGATATTGTAACAATTGGTGTAGTTTCGTTACGCACGTCGACCGGAGGAATTGCACGCCATCGCACACGGACGGGACAAAGCGTCGCGTTCGACTGATGGCCGCTGTTGGAGGAGAGGAGACACAACACGCGCAGAACAAAATAAAAAAAACCGCACGGTCTACGTATATACGTACAAAACATTATAAACTCATGTGCGGACAGCGATTACCGAAGTGGTGGAAGCGGTAAACACACGCGAGCAGGAACTGGTTTTCAGCGGAGACCACGAAGAGAATGTTGGCCGACACAGCGCATGGGTATATAGCTGTGGTAGGCCGTACGTACGATACCACGGATACCTGACAGACGGTATAAAATATTATGTGCTTCGAAAATATCCGACGATTGTCTGAGCTCGCAACGATGTAAACACGTCTCGGCTCTTTCGTACCGGAGAGAGATAGACAGAGAAAGAGGATTTTTTTTATTGTTGCACATCGATTCGTGTTTATGACACTTGTACAGATGTTGCATAAGCAGAGTCCGTAACTTGTAACTATAAAAATTGTTACTTGATAAACGCAGTGATATGCACATTCACATAAGTGCTTATCAAAGTTGTATTTATTATTTATACATTTGAAACAATATTATACACGTAAAATAACACTATAAATAAAAAAATATTGTCTAGACTTCGAAGTATGCAAATATATGCAACAAAAAATTTCGTATTTCACTTCATGGTTATCAGAAAAGAATTTACAATACTTACTTGAAAATCTCTAGGCATTCTGAAAAAAAAAAAATTAATACCAAGGCTTTGTACCCAAATAATTGTTTCGGGTTTCGGGTGTTGAATATATTAGGGTGTTCAAACACCGCAATACAACATTTAAACAAACGTTTGGGTGTTAATAATCGTTATTATTCGGGTTAATACGGGTATTAAGTAGTCAAAGAAAAATATTATTTTTCATTGGTGGAGAGTGGTGGGGAGGCTGAGCCCCCTCTTTACTAATGAAATATTTATATTTTTTGTTACCTGCCCATGTAATAAAATATCAATTTCTTATACAACTGTGCAACAGTTTTTTAGACCAAATTATCATTATGTTAATTTCAAGCAATGGTGTAACTACGATTTATTTTCGTATGAAGCTTATAAATTATAATATCTATTAAGATTAAAAATACTAACACTATGTCCTACTCCTAGTTAGTGTGGGCATATCGCATGCGACAAAAAACAAACTATTTTGTATTCTACGTTTGTGTTTGTGGCATAGGCGGAAATCGGGAGGGCATGAGGGGACTAAGCCCCCCAGAAATATAAAGTATAGGTCTTAGCCCCCTATCCCTAAAAATTGTTAAGTGAATAAAAATACAATAATTATTATATTTTTAAAATGCATTTTAAAACTGAATTAAAAAAATATTCTATGATAAAAATTAAATCAAATTCGTAAGATTTTACAAACTTCTTGACATGACTTGGAACGATCGCGATTAATGTAATATTAATAATATGTAATAATACCCGTATAAGTTATTTAATTTAATTAATTAATAATTTCTGTTTAGAATACCTACTCCAAAAATGTTTAAGATAGGGCAGCTAATTGTTTTTTTGTTTAAATTGTTGATTAAAAATGTCAAATTGTCAAACTTCGTAAATTGCCTTGTTGAAATAAATAATTGCACACAGTAGTATCTATAGGTGTAATAAGCAAATAATGCTCAGCCCCCCCACAAATTTCGCCAAATTTCCGCTTATGGTTTGTGGTGCGTACACACACTAAAAACGTACTAGGTAGGACGTAGCATAATACAAAAATAATAATAATTTGTATTTATGAATGTTACGATGAAATTATTACACCAACAAAAATTGACAATAATTGTCAACTTTTGATTATTATGAATTATTCACGTCATAGAAATGTGTACTACACGCCATACACTGAACTAATACGAAAAACGCGAACAACAATTTAGGTAATCATACGTAAGACATCAATTCTATTTCAGACTTACAGCATTGCAATAAATAATGACTCGGTGATTCGTAGAAGACCTATTACCTATTAAATTATAATAATACGACGTATCTGCTTGGAATAATTTTAAAAATAGTATCCCAGTTGTTTACACTTGAAAATTCAACATATCATACCATTCATGCACACCTATCAATAAGATATATTGCTATTGTCTTTATTTAGATAAAATTAGATTAATTAACAATTTTATAAATTATCTGTGAAATTATTCCTGTGAATAATAATTTTACTATTAAACAACTAATGACAAAATTGAAATAACTACAAATAATACATACAAAATGATATGTCACATAAAGATTGTAAAATAAAAAATTACTCGGGTTTCAGGTTAAAACCAATATTTTATTCGGGTTTTGGTTAAATGGGGTGTTTTAAAAAAAAATCATTTGGGTTACATGGGTTTTGGGTGTTTGATTTTTTAAGTGTTTTTAAGGGTGTTACGGGTTTGGGTTAATTCGGATGCAAAGCCCTGGTTCATACTATTGCTACTAATCTACTATTTACGAGTTTTAGTCATCCATATCCATCGAATTCAAGGTCATAGCATCGCTGTTTAAGTCAACACACCGATGCAGTTGCGATATGTACACGCGCTTGTATATTACCTCATTATTATATATTTATATATATATATATATAAAATAGGTCGTTAATATCAATTTTTTTTATATATATCTACTATCCCCATAGTCAGTCTACTCCGATTATACGTCTTTCGTGGATTCCTGTTTTCGTTTTATGTTGTGCAAACGTTACATTTTATGCCTATTGACAAACAGGCGACGAAAAAAGAAACTACACTGCATTAATTGGTAGGCTTCTGTAATGTATAGTCGGTCCTAAACATTCACTTTGATTAAAATATGTAATTTTGAAAGAACCTGCCGATAGAATTTCTAAAAACGACCAATCATCAAAAATGGCCTACACAATTCGATATAGAAAATAGGTTAAATGCAACTGGCTGGTAAAAATTAAATCTAAGAATATTATTATTTTTTTATAGGACATATCGAAACTCACGCAAGTTTTACGAAATAAGCCTCATGTAAATTAATACGTTAAATCATTTTGTAAATACTTGTACATATATTTTTTAGTTTATGCTAATTTTATACAATTTTGTAAATTAAATAACATTATAAAACAGTTTCTTTTAGTTATTGTATAAGTTCAACACGCATAAACGTGTCAACAATTTAAAAAAAATAATAGAGATTATAATAAATTAATATTTCGTAACATACCGTAATACTGCATGAGTAATTACAAAATCGTTCGTACTTAAAGGTTTAGTTTTTACTATTAAAATATCAAAGTTTACTTTTGTTTAAAGTCCTCAAATTTTTATCATAAAATTAAGTATTAGTTTTTAACGTACTCGTATTTTAAATAAAAATATTACTAGTTTTAATTGTAAAATTAAATGAATGTTATCTTACTAAGTTGAAAATTAATATTTATGATATTTATATAGTTATTTAAAAAATTCATTAGATATCATGTTTATGTCATAGTTGATTTATATATAGGTATATAAATATTAGGGTAAAAGTATGAATACTGTTTAAACTATTGGTCAAACCTAGGGTGCACAAAATTGTTTGGTCAAACCCCGGATGATTTTTGTAATTCGGATTTTTACAAACGATATTTGGTAAATCTTAGGATAAACAATCAGTGTTTATATATATATATATATATATTATTGTTATATATTAATATATTGTTAGTTTATTATAGCTACTAGCAGAGGCGTATTTAGATTTACTTGGAGGGAGGACTCAATTTTTTTTTTAATTAAGGCTAAAAATTTACTATTCAAATTATGGTAATATTTAAATCGGATGAACCCTTAATATTTGTGGTTTTTTTTTAAATTTAATTTCGGATCCACTTAGAATCGACTTCTGTAACACCTGTCGGTGTTTTGAAAGTTACGCTTTTGTTTTATTTGATTTTTCACGAAGTATGGACCCGAAAAAAACCCAATTCAGTAGCCATGCGTAATTTGATTTTGTTATAAAATAATCTACATTAAAAAAAATTATAATGTGTATCTCACATACTCGTATAATCGATTTCTTAAATACGGATTCAGGGGGCGATCGCCCCTTCGCCCCCCCCCCCCCCCCCCCCCCCATAAATTACGCCTCTGGCTACTAGGTACATTAATTACTAGTTACTAGTATATTATTTTTATTATAATTAAATTCATTTTATTATTAAATTATTTATTTGTGCAGGCTTAGCTGTTATGGAATCTAAAGTTGCACAATACATTTTTGGATAGGCACCTGTTAGTCATACATTTTTTCAAACAATCACACCTTATTAATTCTTGTCCACCAGTCAAAGACAGTTACGATACAGCTTGTCCAATATCAATTTCATTATCTGTTATGATTGCCGATTAGAAAAAATATCTTCGTATAACTGAGTGTGAGTTAACAGTTGTGAGATTATTCCTGCTTTTGTTCCCAGGCGATAAAAATCTCCATCCACAATTTGTAACACCTTAGTCAATTATGTGTAAGAATCAATTTTATTTCGATCGACTTCTGGTATTTTAATTTTGATGGTTTGTCCAGTTAATACTATTGGTATTTTCTTGTTTGACATTTGCTTCATTTTTCTTGCTTGTATTATAAACCAATATTTGATTCTTTCTCATGTTGCTTAATTTTTTGTATCCACGCCGGTATTATATTTTCTACGTCTCTTATTTCTACATATTCAGTTTCTCCAAGTGTCTCTACTCCATCATCGGGCTCTTGATCGATTTCATCTATCTCACCAACTTCAACAATATTTATCTTTGGATCTGTAAGTGCTACCTCTAAATTCTCTTCTGTTCGCAATCTTGGCAGTACATTTTTTGGAATAATTGAATTAGCTAATACCATTTTAATTGTATTCCCAAATACTGCTTCATATGATGAGCATTTGATTCCTGAAAATTTGGTAATTAAATATATACTTTATCCAAAACTTTAATTATGTTATTACATTATTATTTTATTAAAATTTTGTTAAACAAAATGAAAATTATAAATTTGCATGGTAGGTATTAAAATAAAAAAAAAAAGTTGTAAGACACTGGTTGAG